TATTTTCCCCAGAGCTGAGACACGATGCCTGGCACCCACAATTTACAGGAGAGCTCACTCTATTTTGACTCGCATTTAAATCCACAGTCTGCCAGCTTCAAAGAAGAAAGAGCAGGAAGAGGAGAGAGGGGAGGAAAGCTGCTCACCTCATGGCGGGCCAGAAGAGAGCGGGAAGGGAGGAGCTGGGGAAGGAGACCCTGCCTGCCCCATCACCCCAGGGGCCCGCCTCCCAAGGACAGCCATAGCCCTCACAGTTCAGTCACCTCCCCACAACCCCACTTACAATGCATGAGGTTGGGAGACATTAGATATAAACCATAAGAGAGGTATATGCAACTCTACACTCATATGTGTGTGGAGCGGTCACAAATATGGTTCCTATTTACATTTTAGAAACTTATTATAGTAAAAGACATATTGCCCAAAGAGCAATGGGACAACCATGTTAGAAGTGAGGGGAGGATTGTGAATATGCTGGTTTTTCTTCTTTTGTACTGGGAATCGGGTATTGAATCCATGACCTTGTGCTTGCCAGGAAGGCATTTACGCCGTGAGCTATATCCCCAGCCTTTTTTTTTTCCTTGTTTGGAGACAGGGTCTTGCGATGCAGTTGAGGCTGGCCTTGAACTCACTGTTGGCACAGGCTGGCTTCGACCTCGTGTGCTCTTCCCACCTGGCCTCATGAGTGTTGGGAGTGTGGGTGTGCACCACTGCACCCCAACATAGTGTAATAAATTGACAATTTAAACTTTCACTGTATATTTTGATGACATCACACTGATCAATTGTCTACAGCAATTTCTGTCAAATAAAAACATGACAAGCTTTCATTTACTTTATTCACACTGGATCTGGTACCATGTGGCTTCTGGTTTTTCCCCGAAGTCAAATGACCACGTAAGGTAAATGACGTGACTCAACCCAGGGACCAAGGCAACCACAACAGCACAATGAAAGATTCTCACAGAAGAGGCTTCCAGACTGCTTCATGAAGCACAGGATGATGGGGAGTGCTGAAGTGAGGGGGCGCAATGGCTATGTGTCTTTCACTGCAATCCTCAGTTAGAAGCAGTCACTGTGTTTCTGATCACGCCTCTGGGTGTGTAGCCCTGGATAAAACCCAGGGCCTTGTATTCGCTAAGCATACACCCTACCTAACCTGCACCATTATTCAGTTTTTGGAATTTGTCTGAAAATGCTCCAAAAAAATTAAAATGCACTACATTAGTAAAAAAAAAAAAAAAAAAATTAAGTAACTTACAAAGCTTGCTGCCCACTTCCTTTCCCCAGGGCAGGGCCAGCCTTTCTTTCTCCACACTCGCTGTTGCCACTGCCCACAACCTCTCTCTCTCCAGCCAGCACGAAGCCCAGAGGACCACTTCAAGGCAGGGGACTGACGTGGCACAGCTTAGGCCAGCAGCACAGAACTACAGCCAGGAGGAAGCCCTGTGCACAGATGGCCTGGGCCGAGCTGTGTCTCCCAGCCTGGCCTCCAGGTGAGCCATCTCTGCCCTTCCAGCTCTGCGCCTTGTCGCAGGGTCCCTGGGCACGGGGCTGGGTGTGCTCCCCGGGCCCGCCCAGGTATAGGGTTAGAAGCTGCCTCTCCGTCATTTCCAGGCACTCCAGCAGCGTAGTGTATCTGAAGGAGACCCTAAGACACGGTGAAGCAGCAGGAGGCCGCCTTCCGATGATCAGTGGGTGGTAACCCCAGTGCCTCCTTGCTGTGGGTAAGATCAAATAACAGAATCCATGGAAAACCTGAGCCCCGCACGGGCCTAAGAAGAGGGCAGGAAACATCTGCCATGATTGCTCCTGAATCTCCACCCTGTGCCCTGTCCTGCTGGGGACAAGGCTGAAGATGACAGAGAGGGGAGGTGTCAGCTCTGCTTTGTTCTGGCCTGGAGCCTCAGCACCCAGCAGGCAGACAGCACTGACACACACACACACACACACACACACACACTCACACACTCACACACACTCTCTCCCAGTTTCTACAATTCCACATGGGAGACACAGCCATCAGACTAACTCAGTACCCAGCAGGTTACTATGAGGATGCCGAGCACAGTGTCAGACGAGGGAGGCAAGGGGCTGAGGAGGCCTGGGCAGTGGGCCTCTGCCTTGGGCAGGGAGTGCGAGGCAGACCTGGGTGAAGGCAGGGCATGTCCCAGACGGGAACAGGGAACAGGATGTGCAAAGCCCAAGTGCAGGGAGCAGGCTGGGTATGACCGAGGAACTAACTGTAGGTTGGTGTGGCTGGGACAGGGTTCCACAGCAGCAGGGAACACAGAGGCCATGGGGAAAACTTTAGGATTTGCTTCGCAGAAAGCCAGAAAGACAACTCCTTGGAGCACAAAAGAAACAATGTACCATGTGGCTTCTGGTGTGCATCCATGGATCAGCACAGCTTGTGAGAAATGCAGCCTCAAGTCCACCCCCACCCAACTGAAGGACAGTCTGCATGTTCACAAGGTCCTCTGGTGCTCCGGGAAGCACAGCACAGAACAAATTTGTATATAGTTGTTTCTTCCTTCTCCCTCCTGCTCCACTTCTCCCTCCCGCGGTGCTGGGAAAGGAACTCAGACAGGATCTCATGCATGCCAGGAGGGTGCTCTACCACCCAGTTACACCCCAATCCCCGAGCTTCCCCCCCGGTTGGATGTCTAAGATGGCTCGAAAGAGAAGCCAGTGGTTGCCTCACAGCTGAGCCACTTCTGCTCCCATCAGCTATGGTTCTGTGTGTGTGTGTGTGTGTGTGTGTGTATTTACAGAGTACAAGGAGGGAGGTTCCCAGAGACAGAAAGGATAGAATCAAATCTCAGAACGGCCTCAGTTCCCACTGAGTCCCTATTTAAAAACTCCAAGAAAACTGTGACTGGTGGTGCATGCCTGTGATCCAGGAGGTTGAGTTCAAAACTGGCTTGGGTTGCAGATCAAGTGTGAAGACAGCCTAGACTACACAGTAAGACCTTATTTCACAAAAACTCAAAGAAATGAAGGAAGGATGGACGGAGGGGAGAAAAAGAAGAGAAAAGGGAAGGAACCTTAGCTCCACTGCTGGACACAGACTGGTCTCGGCATAACCTCATGTCCACCCATTTTCCGGGAGCCCTGCAGCCTCTGTAAGGGCGTGAAGGGTGGGGCGTCTTCCACAGAGCATCCGTCCTTCGGGCTCCTCCGTTGGTTTGCACTGGTCTGCTGGGCTCTCCCCACCCTCCCACACCTTCTGGAATCTTCACAAGAACCAAATGAACCGAATGTCTGAGAAACGCTGTACACCCCACGAAGTACATGCCAAGGTGGCCGTTTGCTGTGCCCTCTCGGGGTACAGCAAGCATGGATGCGGTAGGCTTGTACCCTGTCTTGAGGCACTTGCCAGCGGCTTCAGCCATTCAGCTGGGAAGTGACCAGAAATCCTTCTCTAGAGGTAGCCTGACCTGTCCCCAAACACACACCAACAGCATCACACACTTCTACCAACCACCCCAACTGAGAAAGCAGCCCATTAGACCCTGAGGAAGGAGGGGACAGACAGGCTGCAGAGTGGCCTGTCTAGGATTGCTCTTAGGCATGCAGACTAAGCCCCTGCCGGCCTGTGTGGGGAGATGGTGCCCCAGCCAGCCCACCCCTCCCCCTTCCCGCCGCCAGTCTTTCTGGGCCTGTGCTCCCACAGCCATTTCTTGTCACCGAGGTACAATAGGCCTTGCTAGCAGCTGGCAGCTTGGCCACCCTGCAGGGGCGGGGCGAAGGCGTACTGGGTGGGGGCAGCCTGCTGCAGAGGGGGTTCCCAGCTCCAGGGACAATGCCAGTGTGTGTACTTCCCCCGTCATGCACAGCCACCCCTCCCATAAGCCTTGCAGGCTGGCACCTCAGGACAGTGGCTCCCCCATTCAAGAGCTTTTGTAAAATCCTTGAGGCCTAGACTCCACGCATGTCCAGAGATGTCAGCAGAGTGTCTCCCAAACTCCTATAAACACACAGCCAGGGACAGAGTCTATCTCGCCTCCTTCTTTCTGTGTTTTTGAGACAGGGTCTTGCTAAATAGCTCAGCCTGAGCTCAAAACTTTTGGCAAACCTGCTTCGACTCTTGAAATGTTGGGATTATAAGCATGTCTGACAATGCCTGGTCTTACCTCCTATGAATGAAGAGATGCTCGAGCCACAACCTCAGATCTGCTAATTGTCACCCGTGTGTGCCTTTTGAGAAGCTGCTTAACCTCCTTGAGCCCGGTCTTCCACCTCTATAAAAAAGGAGTGGTCAGATAAACCTTAGGGGATAGGAGGACAAGTTCCTGAGATCACGTACCAGCACTTAGTGGGCTGTGAGTGCCCCAGACGTGGTAGCCCTGGGGACTATTACTCCTGATTCAGGCAACTAATACCTTCCAGTAAAGAACAAAGGCCAAGATGGGAGAAGCAATGGGGACGCTGGGAACCCGGACTGCCAAAAAAGCACCCAAGCACAGCTTTCTTTGCAAGTAAGTAGCTGACCACCATGGATACAATCATGATATTAGGAAGACACAATGCCCGCCACCAAATGTGCCCTCAGTATGAAGTTGCCCCCCACCCCAGTACTGGGGATTGAACCCAGGGCCTTGCATGGGCTGGGCACGTTTTCACTACTGAGACATGCAAAGTGGTAGGGAATAAAGGCCAGAGCTCAGGGAAGAAGCAGAGCTGGTAAGGTTTGCAAGCTCTGAGTGTGTGAGGTCACCTTTGGAAACCAACAGTGGGCCGGGTGGAGGCTTGCTAAGATCTGGGTACAGGCTGAGCTGGCCATAAAAGTGAGGGGAAAAAAAAAAAAAGATCAAGAATGGCCGAGGGAGGTACAGGAGGAAACAGAAGAGAAAAGTGGTTCTGGGAACCAAGAAGTTTCAGGAAGATCAACAGCCCCAGCAGAGGCCTCGTGTGAACTGTGGTGAAATGTGAGCAAATGGTTATACATATGTAAACTGTTCGTGCTCGAGTTGGAAGGAACTGCAAACATGCCTCTCTCATCTTTTAACTGTTTATTATATAATATAAAACTACAAAAGTAAGACTGCTCATTCCCATGTACATTTAATCTGTCCAATTATTTCAATTACAGCCCAAACCTACATTGAACACAGCCCTCTGGGTTCTGATGTGACAACTGTAATATTGCATAGAAAAGGCACAGCTCTCAGGTCTGTGGGGAAAGGTCACACCTCCTTCGTGACAAAAAGCCCTCCTCAAACCCGTGCACCAAACATGTCACTATGTACATCTTTCTCAAAAGCTCGGCTGTTTGTACACATGGACTGAACTTTTCTTCCACACCTATTATCCCCGAAAGAATCCAAAGTGTTTATTGGCTTTATCTGCAACAGCATTTGACCCTGGCTAATTTTCAAGACCCATTTAGACTCCTTCTTGGAAGCATTGAAAACAACTGTACATAAGCAGGACACGCACAGCTCGCTGCCGTCCAGGTTGGGGGCAGTTACAGGAAATTAACCACTTACAGCTAGATTAAATATGCTCTTTCCAATATTTCCAGAAAATGTACAAAGGTACAATTTTTAACAGCAAGGTTTTGAAATTAAGACAATTTATGTAGAACAGAATAACAATCGCTGCACAAAGTAGTTTTTTCTTTTTAATATCTGTCATTTAAGAAGGCTGCCCGTGCAGTATTCATAACTCGGTTTACTGCAAAGGTAGTTAATAAATTTAAGCTTTAAAAATGATCCGTAAGTTGATACTTTGGCTCTTTGGAGCTTATTTAGTTAAGAAATTTTCCTTGATTGACCTCGGGGTAGTTGGGGCACTCCAAGGAGCTATGGCAATAAAAAGTTCAATTGATCAAGACACTCGGGTAGAGGAGGCCTTGGCCATTTCTCACCCTTTGGTATGAACGTGGGTGCCCGTGTGGTCGCCCCTTTTGTTATCAAGAGAAAGTGCTACTAAGAAAACTTTAAAAAATATCAACCCTTTGATGCTTGATTTTCTTAAAAATTTGGAGGTATTAAAACATTTCTTATCCATACCTTTTGCATATTTCAAATAGACCCATATTAGCAAGGAGAGAAAAAATGAATGTGGACTGTGCATTCAATGAGAAGACGGGGGTGGGGGGTGGCTTGGACCCCCTTTAATACAGATTTACATTCCTACAAGAGAATACATTCCTACCATACATTCTGCACATTACCATCCAGAAGTTGTTAGAGCTCCACAGTAAAATAAATATATTTACACAGAAAAAAAGGAATAAATAACTTATGGGGGAAAAATCACTTCAAATTCAAAGCTCTCAGGATTCTGCTCTCATCTTGTCACTTCATTGCACATCATTGTCAATAACTGTCCTCTCCCAGCCCAGCCCCACCCAGCACGTCTTCCTCATAAAAGGTACCTCAAGCTGCCGCCCGGGCGCTGCATACCACGTGACGTCTTTTGTACAGGGGAGGCACCGCTGCCAGGAGGCATCAGGAAGCACATCCCACACTCTCTCTCAGACCTGGAGAGCCCACTCTGGCCGCTCTCTTCCCCGTCGGGACATCACTTGGTAAAAATAGGACATAGAGACACTTTGAACTCTTGATGGCTTTGCTCTTTCTGAAAATGGGCCACTGAGTTCCCCATGGAGGTCTCGTTAGACTTTGAGCATCAAGAATTTACAGCAAGGATGTCAGAGTTAAAAAGCACTTGCCTGCTGTTGTTGGGGGTTTTTGTTTTGATTTTGAATCCCAGCCTTACAAATACATGAGAGTCAGAGAACCAAGTTTGGGCAATGCTTTTCTGTGCTTATTTGAACTGCTGCCCAACATATGGGATTTGTTTAAACACATGATTTGCTAATCTAACGAAAGTACAGTTGTTCGAAGTTACTGTAACTCAGTTTTCAACAACGGCAACTCAACTGCTTTATGCCGTTATTGTTCAGAATAATCAACACTGTTGTATATGTACATGTACTCATACGTAAATGTGCACAGCATGTGGCCAGTTTGCAGGGTTCTCCAGTTATGAAAAGCATGGGTCTGGGCAGACTTGTTCTCTATCAGAAAGGAGGGAAGCTCTTAATGGACAGGCACAGCGACCCTGGAAGCATCTACCACAACCCTCGCCTTAATTACATGGTCCCTGGTCCCACAGCAAAGGAAATGACACGTGTGGAGTAGTGAGAGATGTCTGCGTGGAGGCTGCGTGTAGGAGCCTGAGTGCAGTTTCATCAGTCTCTCACTGCTCCACTGAGTTCATAATTAGCCTTTGAAACACATTCAAATGGGGAAAACGCAAAAAGACTTTTAATCGTATCATACATGAGTCTTTTGCTTAGATGAGCAGTTCCTTCATCACAAATGTATTTGTTTTGTCACGTGCATTATAAAAACAAAACTCTCTATGGCTTGTTTAAAGTGCCATTTTATAAAGTTGTTTTTTTTTTTTTTAATTGGCCAGAAAGACCCAATTTTATCCATGGCAAGAAGTGAGCAGAATTGGTGACTTAATATTGACAAATGACCAACAACAAAGACAACAACAACAACAACAAAAACAAAATCCCATAATTTAAAAATTTTTAAATAAATATAAAAGTTATTCCTAAAGAAGCCATCTGCCTAACAATATAGGTTGTAACCTGCACTCAACAGCTAAAGTACCACTGGAAGAAAGAAAAAAACCTGAAACATAAGGCCATGAACAATTTGAGCAACTAGCATGATACATTGCAAATGTTTTAAAATTAAATGTTCATCACTAAGAATAAAAAGCTACCGCTTAAGTGTGTTCCGGAGGTGGGAGAGAAGAAACATGCATAGAGATTCCTGTTTGTGTATTTGGGTAAAACAGTCTTGTAAACTGTAGATAAATTAGCAATTGATTTAACAAAGCAACCAGGCAGGGTGCCGTGATGGCGTGTGAGTAACTCCAGGTTCAAGGGAAGAGCTCGGCCCGGCTGGCCGAGGTGAGGTGAGCCGGGCTCAGCGAGCTGATCGTGAAGATGCCATTTTCAGCTCTTAGCAACAGAGGGAACAAAAGCTCTAGGGAAGGGATGCTGGAAAAGACAATTTAGCTACATGATGGATGCCTTCTGGGAAGAATTTTTCTTTATGAGCCCTAAGCACTCTTGCAATAGGCTCAGTTCCATGAAGAGGTTGGTTGTTTTTCACAAAATTTTGTTCGTATGTAAAATAACAGGTTCATCATAAAAACTATGCCAAAAAGAAAAGATCTGGGTTTTCATTTAAAAAAATAAAAACAATTAAAAGAGCAAACTTGGCATAAATACACTGTTAGTAAGACGATAGCCTTCCCTCCAAGGAGGGAGCTAAGGAGAACCATCACTCAACCCCAAGCCCCACCGCCATCTCCTGCCAACGGCTTAATGCAAGTTTGATAAGCAGACGTGGTTCTGGCTTTGGAAGTCACAGTTCTGGCGGGTGTTTGTGCCAGGGGGTCAGTGCTTGTGAAATTTGGGTGTGATTATCACCTGGCCCTTTATTAAAAGGCTCTGTGTGTGTGTGTGTGTGTGTGTGTGTGTGTGTGTGTATTTGCATCTGGGGACATCAACTGCAGATTGATTTGATCCAATTTTCTCTTGCACCATACACATATAAAACATTACAACTCTATAAAAGTACAAGTGCGACTTGTACATTTGAAGTTTGCAGGAACTATGTGAGCAAATCCTATCAAAATAGCTATCTTATATGTATAAACAGCATTTGTTTTTTAGAAAAACAATATCATAAACTGCATAATCTGTACAAAAATATAAAATAAATTTGGGCAGCAGTTTTCTAAACAGCCAGGTAAATGCAACACTTACGAGGAGTAGTTAATGCCTCTAAAAAGGCTGAATTGCCAAGTCAACCTATACAGGGCAAAAATGCCAGGAAAGGTACTGAGATTATCTAAATAATATATATATTTTTCTTTTTTTACCTCTTGCAATAAAACTTATAGAAAAAATAGACAAATATGCACATGCAATTTACAGCTTTCCCAACTTAATCCTTGTGCTTCACTTTAACTGTTTATGTTCATCAGTCAACGTTAATGACGTTGTCTTCAGATGTGTTCTTTCCCATACCACGGTAGCAGGTCTCTGAGAAACCACTCAAAAAAGCGTATTAAAAGTGGTCATGTTTAGATGAAGGCACTCCAACTCTGCTCAAAGCAAAAACTAATGTGATCCTTTTGTAAAATTTTCTTCTTCTCTGAAAAAAGGCAAGCAAGGGTACATGCACAGTGCGGAGAACTGTCGGGGCGTGGGAACGCTCGCGGTGTCTGGGCGAGCACTGTTACCGGGTCCCTGGGTCTCAGGACCCGACGAGCACCTCCATGATGTGGTCCAGCTCTGTGAGGTCCATTTTGAAAGGCTGACTTGGGGTGACGGGCTGACTGCTGTAAGGAGCCAGGGTCTTAAGGAGGTCATCGGCCGACACAGGGGCCATTTTTGAGGCTGTCCCCGATGCGGACGTGCAGGGGTCAAAATCATACATGGACGTATCGATGTCAGCAAACAGGATGTCATCCAAGGTCAAGTCTGTCAGGAAACCTGTGGATGTTGTTATCTCAAAATTGCTAGGCAGAGAGTCCATCAGTTTTGAGTCATCCGTGCGGCCCTCCTGGGACCCCTCAGGTTTTGGGATGCTAGACCCGCTGGAGCTCCCTTTCAAGTTGTCAGTCACTGCCACTGTGGCCTCTGTGGAGGTAGATGTGGGACAGAGCTCCTCGATCTCATCTAAGGCCGAGGAGAAGCTGTCCTTTTCCTGCGGAAGGTCTGGAGGGGAGAGTCTGGGAGGAGATGTGGGCGGCACAGTCTGCGAAGTGCAAAAAGTGTCATCGTCATCCTCGAGCAGTGAGGCCGGGGTGAGGCAGGCCTCCAGGGGTGTAGTGCTTCCCAGGTCACAGGGGTGAGTGGGAGGGGACGCGAGGTGGCTGAAGGCTGGCGGCGCCTCTCGGTAGCTGTCGCTCAGCGCGTCGCTGGGCTGGGAGGAGGGGGTGAACACGGGCCTCAGGCTGCCTTCCTGCTTGAGTTCCTCCTGGATCCGCCTCAACATGTTGTTAATTAAAACGGTCTTTTGCAAGCTGGGCTCTGTTAGGGGCCTGTGGTTATAGAGTTTCATAAGGGAAATGTTGAAGATAGTCTGGCGCTGTAAGGTGTAAGACACCTTGGATGGACCGTCGGAGGGAGACACGATTTTGCCTTCCAGCCCATCTTCATGCTCATCAAACTTCCGTTTTCCTCCTTTACCCAACATATATCTGCAAAAGACAAAGGCAGGAAATGGTATGAATCACACCAAGGGTAACTTCCACTGTAAGAAACACACCAGCCTCAGGGTCAGAACTGGGACTTCAGTTTGCCCAGGTTACTTGGGAAAGCAGATGGTTTGTTTAACTGGGGGGAAGACCTCGTAGAAGGAGACAGAATTGAGAGTTCTATCCTCGTACGTCTGCAGAGCAATTTTTATCACTAGGTAGTCTGGCAAATATATTTCTTGAGAAATGTGTACAACACAGACAAGTTGGGAGTTGCCATGGAAACCATGATTTTGACTTTCTCAGCTCATGTGCTCGTGTTCATATGCCTAACCTTATCATGGAGGTTCAGTTTCCATCCCCCAAATGGATTTATTTTTAAAGCCGCCAAAATTTACAATGCTATGACCTAAACAGGCAAAGGTGTCATCCATTACAGCTTGAACTCATCACGAATGATTAAAAGAACAAGTTAGAGAGGAGGGGACATGTACAATTTTGGCCACAATGTGTATGCTTGCAAAATACATTTTCCTTCCTCATTACGCACACAGCCTTTCTGCCTGCGGGGTGACATGTGGTGAAGGCCACAGAGACTGAGCCGCCACTGTCTTTCATTCTAGAGTCAACCGGCGAGGTCTACATTTGTCAGCCTTAGTTTCTCCTTGGCTCAGTTTCACTGCAAACAGTCACCTCTGAATGCAACTGCATTAATTTCATAGGACTTTGCTTTGACTGCAGGCATTGCTATTTGGGTATGCGAGACATTTCGTAACGCAACACCTATTGTGATTCTAGAAACACACATATATTTCAGGGGAATTAGGCCCCATGTTCTAGACTTCCAGAACTGGAGAAGAGGTTGAGTTCAAGGCCCTCAGTGAACACTGTCTTCAGTTGGTTATCACCGCGGGACTGTGATCCTCCCAACAATCCACTGCCACGCTGTCATCACCTCCTTTTAGAACACCCCCTCCAACAGATGGGTCTCCAGTCCATTAGCCTCTGCCTCACACACCTCTCTTTCTAGACATTTCACCCAGAAAGTTCTGCAGCTGTTTCGGCCAGGCTGCCTGGTTCTAACTAAGCCAGGCCTGTGCTCGCTCCCTCACCCTCACGGCGCTCACATCAGACATGTGCTGATCATCTCTGAAAGCGACTCATTCCAACGCTATCTTCATACGCGCGCAATTGCTTTGAGGTTACCTGATTTTTCTTCTAAATACTCAGTTCCTTTCACTGCACTGCTCCAGCTGACCGAGCCTGCCTGCCTGCCTCCCTGATCCCTCCATTAGCTCATTCCACACGGACACTGTCTCAGGCATCCTAGGCAGCAGCCTCATGCGGAGACCCTCTCTCCAACAGGCCACCTCCTATGCCTCACCCACCTTTGTACTTTGAATGTCACACTGATGGAATAAGGCTAACAAGATAGGTGCAGAACTTCCTCCCACTACTGCGTTTTAAAAGAAGACCATGCTGCCCTTGATCAAAGGAGATCTTCAGGGGCCACACAGCCTGGCACACACTCTATATGCAGAGACTGACTTTTGATGCCTGTGTCTCCAGAAGGAAAAGAGAGACAGCTGCAACCTATCAGTGTCAGCATCAGCTTGAGATTTGTTAATACTTATAAAGGATATGCAGCTACTTGTATGAAACACTTCCCCTCATTTTGTAAGCATTAACAAAATGGCTGTCAATCACTAGGACCAGAGACCAGTCCTGCAATTAACTATTCTGAGACAAGCAAGCTACGACACTCACTGGTTTATCTAATTCTTCACCTGACAGACATAGTTCCTACTGTCTAGAGCTAAAAGTCTTATCTGTATTACCTATTTCACATAGGATATTTCCTATCGAAAGTATCTGTGCTTATTTAAATGGGGATAAATCAGAGCAGAGGTGGTTTCATTTCACGTTGCAAAACACTTTCTACTTTATACACTGCAAGTGTTATCAGACAACTGGGTTTTGAAATGTCTAATTAAATTCATAATTATTTGTATTCACTTACAACGTGAGCATTTAAATACTTCCAGAAAAATCTCACTTTTGCCAGAGAGCATCCAAGTGCATTTAATTCTCACATCAAAACACACACGCGTGCATACTCTGTGGATGTGTCTCTCACAGCATGCTGTACACACGTAAACTATTGCCGGTGTTACAATCAGGCAGGGAGAGACACTACATTATTTATAAACTCTCGCAGCTGAATTACAAAATAATTATACATCTAAATACGAGTTTCTATCTTTGACATCTTTGTATTTTCACTTCATTTTTCAAGTCATTATTTTGTTTTACTGAAGTGCAGAAAAACAAAAACAAGATGGTCCATCATCACAGAAAGTTTGAGAAACACTGTCCTCAAATGTAAACAACGAAACACAAACCAGTAACCAAGGCCACTTTGAATTTCTGCTGGTTTTCTAGAGGAAAGATAACCTTAGGTAAGAGGATGTGGACTTTTAGTCATCAACGTCATTTTGTTTTGTTTTTTAAGCAGGACTAGGGTTGAACCTAAAATCTCAGCACTGAGCTACATCCCAGTTCCTTTTTATTTCTGAGACAGGCTCTTTGCTGTTACCCAGGTTAGACTCAAACTCTTGATCATCCTGCCTCAGCCTCCAGAGTGCTGGAATTACAGGCATGTGCCACAAGCAGGGAAACAACACGTTTTTGAGAATACATTTCTCTAGGAATAATCACTAACCCTACAGAACTCAATGAAAAAGCTCACACGCAAGGCAATGCTGTAGGCATTTAACAGAATTCCCACAGCCCCAAAAGGTCTGTGGAGATACTTTCAGAGAGCATTCAATGGGAAAAACACCTAATTTCCAATCAGAATGATCATAGCTGTGTGACAAGCCCACTGATTTAGAAGAAGCCTGATAACACATTTGTAACAAGGTTGAAAGAGAAGAGCGGAGGACCCTTCCAACCAAGTCTGTGAGCCGTAAGACACACAGAGTGAAGCTTGGGTGATCTTCAAGTGTGTAAAAAAGGAACCCTGATAAGAGTAGGTCTCTATATTTTGTATTTGAGGCAAAGCTGGCCCCATATACCCAGTAAAACTGAGAAGCATACAGAGTCCTGATTTTTAACCTTTATGTAAATCATTATAGAAAGAAACACAACACAATCAAATCTATTCTACATTTTTCCTTGAAAATGAAGTCTTTAAAGTTTGCTTGATACACCATAGCAACATTACAGTCAGCTCCTCAGAAGAGGCCTCCAATTCTGTGAAAAGGGGGCAGCAGCAGCTCTGACTCTGGGCTTTGTGTAACAACCAGCTCCTTAAGCAGGGCATGATTTAAAGAAGAAAACACAAGACATGCCCTCAAGAAGCAGAGGGCAAGAAGCCAGGCACGTGGGCCCCTCTTGGCCTCTCGGGCCTGGCTCATGCTGGCCAAAGCCAGGGTGGCCAGCTCCACTTTCTTCTCAGGCATTTGGAGAAAACAACAATAGCTCTTTAAGCGGCATTGGAGAGGCACGTGACCTTTCAAAAGGCCTCACTGGGCGGCAGCTTGAAGATGAAGCAGGAGCAGGAGCTCATTAAGGGCTTCCAGGGAGCGCTAGGGAAAGGGGTTCCCCTTGGCTGCAGCACAGGGACTCCAGAGGAGCGGCCAGGGACTGACCTGCTTCCTACGCTGCCACCACAAGCTTTGTCTCGTTCCTCGGCTCGGCTTGTGAAGACCTAGCCTGAAGCCCAGGTCTTCTACCCAGTTTTCCCAACTAAGATCCACAGACTCTGAGCTTCAGCACTGTGTTAGAGAGCCCCACACGGAGACATCAGGTTGGAGCTCCTGCCCTCCTCTGCCACCCAAAGGGGCATTCAACAAACCATGGTCACTTTCCTATTGCACATTCATTGGCTCTTACTAAAGGTCTGAGATAAAACCTCCTCTCTTCCCCAGTAAATTTATTAGAAACAAATGCTCAGCATTCAAAATTTTTACAGTTGTTTTTGGATTTTTTGGTTGTGTGGTGCTGGGACTCAAACCCAGGGCCTCACATATGCTAAGCAAGTGTTCTACTGCTGAGATACACACCCAGTCCTGCGCAAAATAAATTTTGCCAACTATTAACTGCTGTGAACTAAGTTTTGAAAATAAAGCATAAAACTCATTAACAGCAAAACAAATGAAACTGTTTCCAGGAATATTATGAACTCTGTATGCCAGGCCTGGCCTTCAATCTTGAAGCTTTTTATTAGAAAGGACCCTGTTCACAAAAGCCACCATCTGTTGGGGCAGATGCTCAAAACAACTCTCACTAGGCGTTTTCCCAGCAGACAAAAGACCAGAGGACCAGGAGATGGGTTTACCTGCCTATTCACGCTTGCCGATTCCTGATTCTGAGCACCTTCTGCAGCAGAGACTCTGACAGATTACCGAGCGCTGCGGTCATCAAGAAATAAGGTTGGTAGCTCTGCAGTCTGAAGTTTAGATTTAGGGTGGGAATGTCTGTCTCCAACCTGCAGACAGCAAGCCTCACGAGGGCATGAGCTGGGTCTGTGGGGCCACTTCTGCCCAACAGAAGGAGAGTATAATTCCTGCCACGCAGATGTCCCGCGTACAGCTGCTGAGTAAATCAACAGTAAGTGGAAAGAATAAGAAAAGACACAGGGACAGCTGAGAAGCATCAAACACAGCCAGGTGTGCGCACGCCGGGGAGGGGCCCAGACCTCAGAGTGCGCTTCAAGGGCGCACCTGGTCATAAAGTACTCGGCAGAGGTAGGCAAGAAAGCTCCAGCCCAGGGAGCCCTTCGGGAAGAGATCTCCTCACTCACTGTTCTGTTCTCAAACCAGGGCAGGCACCAGCCTCTCGTGGAGGAGCTGGTAAAACAGAGTGGCAGGCCTCGGGGGCTGCAGTCCCAACGCGTTTCTAGGTGATTCTGCTACGAGCACATCTGACACCTACGATTTCTTCTTTTCCCCAATCAGACGAGTTCACATTTTAAGCTTGAGAATAGCTTTATTAAGTTCATTTTGAGTCAAAAGACCTTCCCTATTTGTGTTTAAGCACATTGGACGAAAAGGAACAAAAGTATGTTTTTGTTGTTGTTTTAAAGTGACAGAATCACACTATGTTGCCCAGGCTGGTCTCAAACTCCTGAGCTCAAGTGGGCTGTGAGTGGCTGGGACCACAGGTGTAATCCATTGCACCTGGCTTGACAACTGGTATTTTTAAAATACTTCAGGCAGAATGAAGATGTCTAAGCTCAATTTGAATGACAAAGCTCAGCCTATGAGATTGAAACATCAGATATTAAAGGACAGTGATTTTAAAATAATTTCACAAAACGCAACAGTCGGAGAGGTAATCTTTTGATTCACATCATGTTGGCATTTTAAAATTTATATTAAGAAATAACTTAGGATTTTAAAGGAATGAATATGAAATCTGCTTTTCAAAACTACGACTCCTGTCATCCCATGCTGCTAACAATAAATTCTGCTTCCTTCCCCGGATGGCTCACCCCAGGGCCCTGCGCCGGACCCTCAGGAGGGACCATCAGCCTGGGAACCCTCCTCAGCCCCCCATGAAGACTGGTGTTGTGATTCTGTGCCAAAGAGATGTGGAAGTCTGTATTGTGCTCTAACTCAATTCACCCCAAAGAACAGTCGTTACACTAGACAGAAGGAAAACCTTCCATAACCAGCAGACTTTTCTATTTCACAGCAAAAAAAAGAGCTAATGCTACAAGGATTCCATGAAGAGGGTCAAACAGCCGACTTCTGACTTCTGAGGAAATGACTGGAGCAGGCACGACTGATCCTATGAGCACAAAGGCACCACAGAGCTAGCGGAAGTACATGGCCTTTCACAGAGAGAAGGGCACAGGACGCGGTCCTGACCCAGCGTCCCCACCCCTGGAGAAGGGACAGACAGGACAGGGAGAGCCACGAGCCATCACTCTGAAATACCTCCAGGTCTTACTGGGTTTGTGCCTTGGTCCCGTTTCCTTTTGGGTTAGTAGACAATGATAATCAGAAAGTCAGCATTTTCCTTTTTCAGGGGATAGCAGTCTTTACATTAAGTGACATGTTTTTGCACTCATCTCTGTGGTCCCATTGTAAGAGTGGTTACTAGTGGAGTGTGTGGCTTCTAGGGAGCTGGCGGTGCTCGACACTGTGTTCCTAAATCTCCTCGGTACACTGTTCAGTGCCACTGACATGACCACTAGCTGCTTCGGAGGCCCGAAGCACTACAGAGATACTAAAAACCATCAAAACAATGCAGCTACCTCTGTTGAAGAAACACCAAGCAAAGCAGAGTAGTAGGTACTATAGAAGAAGGCTGGCAGCCGTGACTGTCACACTGACTTCGCGTGCTGCCGAAGCCCGAGCCCTGAAGTGGAGAGACACACATTCTTTCCGTTTCTTCTGAGGTATGCAGTGGTAGAAGGAAGCAGTCCTGGCAAAGCCCACTGTGGGTGACAGACTTTTGAGCTAAAAAAGAGAAGCTGGCACAGTGCTGCACTAGAAATGGTCTTGAACAACTTCTGAAACAGAGTATTCTCACCAATCCTCTTCGGGCTCCACTTGCCTTTAGATGTGTTTGGGATTCTGCTTTTAAAGTGGTCTGAGAGGACAGCCTCTGTCTGGGGAAGAAGGACACCTCCCCCAGCCTCGAGGGGCCTCTGTGCAGCCTGCGACACCACAGCAGCTCCCAAGCAGGCAGGAAAAGCCCCCTCCCACTGCCACGGGGAGGCCCCTACTGTTCACACAGCTTGTACACTAAAGATATTACACCTTGAACAACACGCTGGGCTAAGAAATCTGATGATGTCTAAGCTTTTAACACCCTCCCTCCCCTAAGTACAACAAAACACACAGCTGAACAAAAAGACCACCCTGCAAAGGACACAGTAGTTGCTCTGGAGGCAACTGATCGCACCAGAGAGGAAAGCCAAGACTGACAGGCAAGCTCGCAGCTGGGCCCCACAGTGTCTGGGCAGTAGTGGCTGTCCCCACTCCAGGAGGGTAATGTGAAGCACAGAGGATGGTATCCATATTCCAAAGTGACTGCCTCAGACTCAAAGACAAAATTTAACAGGGAAAGAGTCTTTGCTTATTTACAGACAGGGCACAGACGCAGGAAATGTGCAGTGTTAGTGACAGAACCCCTAAATCTGTTTGGATGGGGAAGATCTCCCTCCCCCTGACTTCTTTTATAAATTAAAGCCCATCCAGGATTTTGGAGGTCCCTGCAGTAACATCCATGCTAATTGGTAAGTAAGGCAAAGCCTCCCCTAACAAATCAGCGATGTAATTATAAAGCCAGTCACTAGATCAAGCCAGTTACCCCTGCTTTGGGAGACTCAGGCTGTAACCTGACCCTCATCTGGTGGCGCCTCCTCCAAGCCTCCCTGAGGGCCACTGGCCGGCAGCCCAGCCCCAGTCCAGCAACCTCTGCGCCCCACAGGCCTGGCAGGACTGGCCTAGCACTGGCCTCCAGGCCTTCCCGGGGGCCACCGGAGGCCTGGAGATAGGTCTTCCAGGAAGTCAACTTCCAAGTAAATTTAAGAGACAAACAACTTTTCCTGTATGGAGCTGTTTTCAGATATCCATATTTTAACAAACTCTAGCTTACCCTGTTAGGAATTCTACATACCTTTATTAATCTGAAGATAATATCTAATGTTGGTGACTTGTCAAATAGGATCTTTTCCCCTAGAAACAGAAATTTTAAGATGTTGACAACTAGCTATCTTTAGTAAACAAGAGTCAAATTCTGGGAGAGAATTTTTCAAGTAAATATTTCTTTAGAATAAATTATGGCCTTGTTAGCAAACATCTGGAAAGAAAAATAGGCTTTTTAGAATATGAATGTCAAACAGTATAAAATGTTCCTAATACTTGTCTTACTGGTTTTCTGCCAACTAAAAATTTTAGGTTTTAATCTCAACCCTAATTAGCCAAGGGCAACAATCCTCCTCTTCCAAGGACAATGGAAATGCTAACAATTTCTCAATTTTACCTAAGGATTCCAGCTAAAAGCAAGTCACACTTAATTCAAGCAAAATGTTGAGCGAAATGATACAGTGGGAGCTTTAAAACCCAAAAAACTAGCCAAAACTGAAACATGATCAATAAAATGCAGATTGCTGCTGGAGGAGGTGCACCGTACTCATCTTTTCTTTTCGGCGGGGCAGGGTACAGGGAATCGAACTCAGGACCTTGTGCTTGCCCGACAGGCACTGTGCTGCTGAGCTTCATCCCTCACCCTCATCCTTCTACTTTCCAATCTGTTGGGAAATTTCCATAATAAAAAGTTTTTAAAACCCAACATGTCACATTAAAAAATTCTACAAGTAAAAGCAGGCACAATAAACTATACGCACCCCCAGTGAGAACTATTACATTAACTTGACAGGTGTCTTTACACAGAAGCAAGCTACTACTAATGCGCTATGTAAACAAGCATGCCCAGTCCAAACTGGAAGGCCAAGAACTCGACAGGCAGTGCTATATCCAGCCACAGGAGGGTGCCGCAGAGCAACCAGGTACCCTCAAGTCGGCTTCCCCAAAGCAGTTTCCCAAGTACAGATCTCTCGAAGCCTACGTATTTCCAGTGTCATTACCAAATGCAGGTATCCACAGGGCCACACTAAGCAAGCTGGGACCTTTGCCAAGCCCAGAGTAAATTACAGTGTACTCTGGTTCAGAGTCCAAAAACACTGTATAGGAAAGAGTGCTTGCTTGTATATGTATGTGTGTGTGTGTGTGTATATATATATATATGTATGTATGTATGTGTGTGTGTGTGTGTGTGTGTGTGTAAAACACTTGGTATATCAAAAAACCATGGCTGAGATCCTTGGAGATTTCCTCAAGTTAGAATAAACGCAAAAACAAACCCGATCCTAAATCCTAAGATATGGGCTTGGAGGAATCCACAGTATAGATCTAATGTGGACTCCCAAGCAAGCAACACATCTTCCAAATTCAGCACTAAAAATTTTACTACTGAAGCCTTCAATAACCCTTTGATTCTTAAAAATACTAAATTACCTCTGTAACAAACAGATACTCCTCCAGGTGGTTACCTGGGAAAACCCTTCATAAAGGGCACAGGAGAGAAGTCATTTAATTGTAAAATGTAATAAGAGATAACCTTAGGGAGATAATAAAGCAAGTTACTGTATAGCTATTGCTGGAATTCTTTCTATTCAAGTTACAAGTCCACGTTACATGATGTATGTTCAGTAATACTGTTCCAAACAGATGAACTAGTATCAAATTTTCCATGTGAAAACTGGTTACTATGAATAATTATTTACATTGTGAAGCTACTTAATAATTTGGTATCAGGACACATCTCTGGTGTCCTGAGCCTACAGTCTCATTATCGTTAATGGAAGGGATCCTCAGATCTGACTTCCCCCCACAGGACTACGTGCTTGTAAAGTCAGCCAGGCTTGCCCCAGCCCCCTCCCACTGCCCTGCATAATGAAAATATTTTTTTCTCTCCTGTATTTATAATTGCTTGGATGAGATTCTGGTTTCAACCCTCTTGTAGCACTGTTTCCCTAAAGACATCTTGTTTTTCCCCTCACAGGAGAGACCCTTAAAAAACAATGTCAGGGGAAAATGAAGGCTTAGAGTAGAAGGTAAGGGCTTTGTCAAAGTAAGCCACACTTCTTTTTTCCTTTACAAGGCTCATTAAATATATAAAACACTCACACTAAAACACTAAACAGCTAAATGGAATTTTTAGAACCAATCTGTTAAAAATAAAATTGCGTCTTAGTTAAAAGCAAAGGTTGCCGTCCACTACTTTCCACAGAATAAAACCAAGGAATAAAAAATAAGCATGCTACCTCAGGAAGTGCTTTTATGGATGTTTTTCTTAAAAGCTAAAGGTTAAAAACCAACCATACTTTCAAATTTGGATGGCTTATTACTCTAGAAAACCTCCATAAATATTCCTCACAAATACAGCATAAATTTCACCTTTTAACTTCCACATACAGTTTAAACACAATAAGAGAAACAATATATATTTATTGAGTAGCATTAAATACACCGAATGGCCTCAATTTGGATTCCTTAAGAAAGGTTATCACTGGGAGAGGACATCCTAATGCAGGGAGCACAGAGCTGTACCATACCTAGCCATTTTTATGTTGAGAGAAAGACTTGCTAAAATCTCCCAGGCTGACCTTGAACTCATTATCTTCTCGCTCTAGCTTCGCGAGGAGCGGGATTATATGTGTGTGCCACCTCACCCAGCAAGATACCACATCTTTACAATGTGACATATGAGTATAAAATCTGAGGTACAGGACAATTGAAATATGTTTTAGAGACATATAAAAGGGAGGAAATAGGGGCTGGAGATTTAGCTTACAAGTGCATGGTCCTGAGTTCGATCCCCGGTACCAAAAAATAAAAATAAAATTTAAAAAAGGGGGAGGAAATAACCATTGTGAGGTGCAAATACCTGTCCAAAATCACCTGTATATTTGGACTGCTTTGGTTGTCTTTAAGAATTCGTAGGATGATAGTTTTCTGAAGACAATTTAAACTTTGTATCACATAACTTGAACAATCCACAGTAGAAATGGGAGTGAGGATACAAACTAGGGAACAGCAGATGATACTTTGTAAATGTGGCAGCCATTTAAAAAACAACTTTTAGGTGATTTCAAGATAAAATGCATGTCTCCCCAGGATGGTCTGTGCATTGATAGTGATTCACTGAATTTTAAGCAAAGTCATCAAATTAAATACAATCAAAATAATCAGAGTTTCACACTACATGTAACAAACATTTTTAAAGAAAATACTTTAAAAAAAGGAATATTTAATATAACTTTATTTTAGGTATCTTTATGAGAAGCCTTCCACCAGCTTACCAGCTAGCCAGCCCTAACATCCTAATGTCCATTATCTTCAGCAGAAGCGACCTGAGGAATTCCTTTTCCATGTGTAAAACAACCAGGCAGCTATTAAGTACTACCAGGTGAAATCTGTATTTCTTTTTTCTTTTTCTTTTGCACCTCTGGGGATTGAACCCAGGGTCTTAGCACTGGGCTACATTTCCAACCTTTTTAATTTTGAGACAGGGTCTCCTTAAACTGCCCAGGCTGGCAATTTAATTTGTAATCCCTCGGCCTCTGCCTCCTGGTGTTGGGATTACAGGAATGTGTCACCACATCCGGCTTATTTTATATTTCTGGACACAGCAAACCTATTTTATATTTAAAAAATCACTGTTTTAAAAATTATTCAGAAAGATCAACAGGTTCATGGCACAGCAAAAATTCTTCTGCTGCTGCAGACACAGAGCCCAAATTCCTCTGCCAGATCAGTTTCCTGTGACAGCACAGAAGGCAGAAAAGTACACACAGGAGCAGACATGGATGAACCCTCAAAGAGAGAAGAAATCTGAAAAGCAAATCCATACCAGCTATCAGGGAAGGGGGTGACCACACTGGGAAGATCAGTTTGAAGCAAATGCCTCTTTATTATCTCATTCGGGGCTGGAATTTTATGCAAACCCGTTTACGACCTTGGGACTTTCAGATTCCCTGCGTCTAACTTGGGCAATGCTTCTCAACACAAGGGTGGGGTACTCCGGCAGGCCTGCTCCAAGCCCCAGAAGCAGCAGTATGGCCTGGAATGATAAGCAGCCAGCTGGAGAGGAGGACAGCAGAGGGCTAAAGGTTGATTTTCAGCAAGGGACTTTTGATTACTGAATTTGTATGACTACAGCATAGTCAAGTGTACATTTCACTTTTGTTCAGCAGGTTCACACAGCCCACTGTAATCATGAGTATGGAGATATATATATACACACATATATTTAAAATCTATCACGTGTTGTAACTGATGGAACTAGAGTTCTTTCCTTCCCTTCATTATTCACTGTGAAACTCCTTAAAATAAAAATACTTGGTTTAATTTCTTTTTTTTTCCAGCTAACCACCTATGGAGATCTTTTTAAAAATCTCCCTCCAAAGCTATAGGTTTTTGCAAGGTGACAAAAAGACAGTCATGTAGACATGCGGAGTAAGTTTTAAGAACTTAAGTTTGCTACTACTTGAAGTTACTAGAGAAACAAAGCTGCCTTTGGGCACCTCAAACTAGTCAGACCTGCTGTAGCAGTTGCAGCCGGCTGCTGATCTGTCCCCTGCCCCCTCTCTCCAGCCCCCCACCCCCACGCATCCCCACAGTCAGTCTACTCCCCACCCTGCAGGCCAGCACAGTCACCCTTTGGTCTGCCCTCCCTGTTGGGAGGGAGGCCAGCTCTGGCCAGACTGCGCACAAGTAGGGTAGGAGAGCAGGCCAGACAAGACTCCTTTCTGAACTGGGCACTGCAGTAAGGGCAGACTAACTACAGCTTAGGTGATTCTGGATTTCTATGACAGATCAATCAAACTGTGGTGCTTGCTCCAGTGAATCCTGGTATTTCCAGTTAAGAGCTGATGAGCCACAGAGGCTCCTGAGAAGACAGAGGAGTCTTAGGATCCCTCAGATCAAGACAGCCAAATTTTCAAGAGAGTTTGCACTGTCTGTGTGTAGTGTTTGCTGAAAATTATAAGCACATAC